GAAAAAAAAACAGCTGCAGAATGAACTTCAAACGATTCTGCCTGTGGCTTTAATGGGGGAAATTCATGAGGGTGGTTGACTGCTATACTAGTTCTCTCTACAGAATGTCAGCTTTTGGTTAAAATTGTTACACTGCTCTCCCTCAAAGGGTGCGCTGATAATGCAAATTTTCAAATCTTAACAAATGTGATATGGAATGGTGTTTTTTTTTCCATCTGCAGTCCAACAGACTGAAATATTATCTGTGAGCAGCATGACTTCCTCTTATCTCAGAGGCAGCCTAGAGTTCACCATCATCAGTTAATTCATTATAAAGGCATTACACACTATTAGTCAGGGGACAAATAATAGCTAAGGCTATAGCTAAAGCTATATAGAAACCTCTAGATCTTGTATAGACGCCAAAAAAGCAGGCTTCACTTAAGATAATAAATGAAATTAAGAAGTGTAAAAAAAAAGGGGGGGGGTTCAAAGCTTGCTACGTAAAGTTCCTTGCCTCAGTTAGTTGCTAACTTTTAATCAATTTGAGCTCAAGCCAGAGTCATCTCAGAAATTCATGATCCCTTTTTCTGCACTCTCTTCTCCCCTCAGTCACGGGGATTTTTTTTTCCTTTGCACTTCCTCTTTCTTCCTCATCCAGACCTGCAGTTAATCTGTGTCTAAACCACGCTTTCTCTGTGACTCTTCTCTCAGCAAGCTTCTGGGTTCTTTTTGGGACCCTCACATCTCCATGTTTGATAATTACAGAACTAGGATGCTTGGTATTAAAGCTTATTCTTTGGATTTTGCCCGTAAGAAAACTTTACTATTCCATTGCCCCTCCTATCAGATGTATGGTGCTGGATTGCTTTCCCTAGGCTCTATATTCTAGTGTCTTAAGAGGCTCTACCTGACTAGGAGACAGGAAGGTTTAATGACATCCCTTGCTTCATAAGACTGACAATTCTACATACACAGAAACATTCAGAAAGCCACAGAATCCATATCTTGCCTATCATAACGTTCCCAGAACTGTTGGCCCTGCTGTGACGATAAGTCATTAGCTGCTCTCTGCCATGAAGAAATTGCTCAGGTTTGTGTTTAGGCTTTGGTTTGCAGACAATGAAAATTTGCAGATCGTTTTTATTTCTTTGGTACATCTATATTAGCAAAGAAAGGCAGACATAAAAGTCTTGATGCAGATATAAAAAAAACACTAAGTGTGAGACCACCAAAGCCCAAAAATAGAGCAATAACCCCAAATTAAGAATAAAAAATAATAGCTTTATTGTTATTTATTGCAGCATTCATAGAATCATAAAATGCTTAGGGTTGGAAGGGACCCCTAGAGGTCATCTAGTCCAACCCCCCTGCACACGCAGGGTCACCTAGAGCATGTGGCACAGGACTGCGTCCAAGTGGGTTTGGAAGATCTCCAGAGAAGGAGACTCCACAACCTCTGTCACCCTCACTGTTAAAAATTTTTTCCTTAAGTTCCTGTGGAACTTTGATGCGTCAGTTTCTGGCTGTTTCCCCTAGTTCCATCACTGGCCACCAGGGAAAAGAGGCCAGCACCATCCTCCAAAAAAGTGTGTTCAGAAGCGTATGACTTGCTTCAGAGCGCAACACTGTTCCTCGTGCTCTTCCCTGGGAGATCTTTCAGCTCAAAGTCACACAGACCTCGTTACATTTTGTATTATATTATTTTATTTTGATTTAGATTTAGATTAGATAAAGAGACATCAGCTCAGAGCACATTGACAGTTACTTAAAACTGTAAAACTCAAGTGCAATGCTATCATTTTTAATCTTCTATCAAGCAGCATACAGTCAATCAAATACCAATATTCTCATATGCTACTCCACTTATTTCTTCTTCAAAGAGCAAGTGAAACCCACAGTCCTTGCTTTGCCCTGAAAACTCATCAGAAGCAAACGAGGATAGCCTTATTTACTAGGCAGTAGCTCTCGAGAAGCATTATGCCACATCAGTGTGTTGCCTGAAATTAAAGTCTCTTCATGTGTTGAATCTGCTAATTGTTGAATATTTGATTAAAAGAGTATGTTGTGACCAGCCTTACCAACCTCAGATGTGCAAAGATTATGAGATGTTCTCAAAAATAAAGACAAAAATTATTTGACTTCTGAGTCTGATGGTCAAACTGGATTCACTTTTATCTTTAATGCATATATTTCAAATGGGTTCTGTAACTGTCTTATCATTTGCATCAAGTATTTGGGGTCTTAGAGAAGTATCAAGTACATCAAGACAGATGAGAATAATCAGCCAGTATTCGTGACAAAACAGTACATGTCCAGCTGTAGGAATTCTGATCATTTCAAAAAAAGTTTTGGGCTTAGCATTTTCCAACAAAAATGCAAAACAGTGCACTTCAAGTACTGATGTATTTCAGATCAAAAGGCTGGCTGGCTCTGTAACTCCTTCGATGATTCTACTACTGCCCTTTACATGCCAGCACCAAAGCATACTAATGAGAAGGCAGAGGGGAGTTGAGGGGCATTTAATGCTAAGGCTGCATAAACACTGAGCCGCTCCCTTTAGCTGCTAGAACTTTCAGTGTAAAGCAGTCAGGTGGCATTTTCATCAATTCTTTTCTCAGACTGTATTCTTTTTTATAAAGGCTGAATAGAAACAGTTCAGCTGCCTTCGTGAATAAAGGTACAACTGGTCAAATGTACAAAGCTGCATTTTTTTGTTACTTTTGAATTCTGGCAAATCAACACATATGACTAACTGATTTATGTTCTTAAAATAACTGTAGAGAGGTCTCTTTTTTTTTTTTCCACATCATTTTGGAATTTTGATGAACGTTGTTCTGAGATTTACTTCTATTTCTTGTTACTTTTAAGAATCAATACTTTGTCTTTTTATTTATTTATTCATTTATGGCAATTATTTGAAAAGGTGGCAGAATCTCATACTAAGAATAAGAGAAAAGTAATATCTCTGTCATACTGGATATTCCCCAAACAAGGAAATAGGAGTTCTAATTAAGTCTTTTGCATTGTAATCGTAGATCTGATGATAACACAGGTTCATTACTGTAGGCTGCTGTTTTTTGTTTTATCTGAGAACATCTATGCATTGCAGTCGTGCTGTCTAATAAGATGATTTCAACATAAGCACGTCCAAACAAATTTTAGTCCTGCCAGTTTTGGTATCAGCAGTTGAGAAACAACACGATACATCCCCGAGCGCAGACTAGCTGCACAGCTAAGTGTTCAGGACGTCTCGAGTGAACTTACACAGTCCATGCCACTGTCCACGTGGTTGCTATCTCCGTGTTATGCATCTCAGGCTGTTGGAATATTCCAATAGCTCAATTGCATTGTATGTCTGATCATAGCATGGATCTGTTCTACAACAATTGTCAGTCTTTTCAAAACTGTGATTTCATTTTTAATAATTATTTTTCTGAGAATACAAGTTCCCAAATATCACTGGCTGGACTTCAGAATCTGTCCTGAGACATTTTTCAAGCTCCGATATATCTGTCAGTCTTGATCATGGTAAAAATAATAAATTAGAAAATTTTGGGGGAAGAAAGTCTGCAAGCAGATGTATGGATTAAGATCAGAGTACCTATTTATATAGATAATGGGCTGTGTGTACACCTGTGTGAACAGGCAACAATGAAATTTTGAAATGACCTGTTTGGTATCTGTGGGTTATTTTATTTTATTTTTTTTTTTTGTAAACTCAGTTTAAAGGATTGCACACATGTAAATAAGAAACCATAGAAGAAAACAACCAAGGAATGGGTCTTTATAGTTGGGAAGTAATTTGAGTCACAGGATGAGAAATGTGCTTGCTAAGGAGAACTGCTAAACAATAACTGCATGACTTCTGTGTTTTTGAACCACTCAAGCTGGTGTTTGTTTGATAAAGTCAAAGCAACTCTGTGTGGAGAAATTATTAAATAGCAAACCTGTTCAATGCATGCAGGTGGAAACTTTTGTAGAAGACGTTCGCTTGTCGTCTTCCCTGTAGTGGAATGCCTCGCTAATTCCGACACTGTGGAGAACTCTCTCCGTCTGCTTTGCTGCATTTTAATTAAACGTTTTTGAACAGTAGATTAATTTGTGTTTTTACCACCTTTTAAGCATTTGCACTGAATATATAGAGAGCCTTGTTAGAATCATATGACAAATGTCCGTATTTGCTCTCTCATAATGTGGTGACAGTAATGTATTTGGGATTGATGGTCAGACTTCTTCCATTTGACATCTTTTTCGTTATAGACCTTTATATCAGGTTAATTTATCTTTTTTATCCGTTATACTTAAGTCATTTTTTATAGTGTTTTGGACAAAGAAGATACCTTTTGAAACTATGAAGATGAAATGTTTTGTATTTCTAAAATATAATCTTTCATTTAAAGGTGGTAAATTGAACAGTTTAATTTTTGTTCAAAGCTCCCATACTGCCTTTTTCAGCTAAAATACTTTGCAAATTTGACCCAGTTAGGTATTAAATGTTTCTATCCTTCTGAACCTTGCATTTCTCAGCAAGCTTATAGTACTGGGTTGCTGAATAAAGACCATCTGCTCTTCACATATGAATCAGCTGGGGCTACTGTTTGGCACAGAATGGTAACCAAAATGCTGTAATTTGGCTATGGAGAAAATGGGGAAGAGGAAAATTAATATGTCTTGCCTGCATTTCTAAAATATGTTTAACTATATATTAATTGTCCTTGAATTAAATCCTTCTTTTTTTGACTGTCTTCCCAGACCAGAGCTTGGCAAGCAGCTCAGTGCAGAACAAAGGAAACATAAGCTTATCTAATAGTGTGTTTTTGAAATTAGTGGGACCAGAAGCTTGTACAACTTGATCATTTGTCCAAAGTTCAGTAGATTCTTCACCATTTTCTTGAAGTTCCTGATGTGTGTAAATTTGGTTGCGTTCAAATACATCCCTGCGACACAAAGCTGATGCTGCAGAGAGACACAGATGAATTATGTTCTGAGAAGCGCGTTTTTATTTCCCCCTCTTGCAGATGGGAAGCCAGTGTCGCTATCTCCGCTGGAATCCCAGGCGCACAGTCCTCGGTACACGGCGTCGAGCCAGCGGGAGCGCGAGAGCTTGGAAGTGCGAATGCGCGAGGTGGAGGAGGAGAACCGGGTGCTCCGCAAGCAGCTCAGCCTGGCCCAGAGCCGAAGCCCCTCGCACCAGCACGGCAACCACTCCAAAACCTACTCCATGGAAGAGGGGACGGGGGACAGCGAGAGCCTGCGGGCCGGCATCGTGGCCGGGAACAGCTCCGAGTGTGGGCAGCAACCAGCAGTGGAAAAATGTGAGGTAAAGAAAGAATAAAAACAGTCCGCTCAAAACCAAGTGTGACAGGTTTGGTCCTTTAAAAGCATTGCAGATCCCCGTCTCCTACACCTTTAAAAGCTTCTGCTGTGCTCATAGACTCTGAAGGACACTAGTTTTTAGATTTTTTTTTCATTATTCTTTTTCTATTTTTTTTCTGTAGAAATACTTAATGTTGTCTTGAATGCCCTTTTCAGTTACGAAAAAGTGTTCTTTAAAAAAAAAATTCGTTCTCATGTGGCTGGACCTGCTGAAAACTCAAAACCTTGTTCCAAGATGACTTCAGGATATCTGTGAGCTGATAGACCTGAGGCAAACCAGCCTCGTGTGTTTCTAAATGAAATGAAAATGACAGTGCTTATAAAAATCTTACTCTCTTGCTTGGGCATCTCTGCACACAAGGTGATGTTCCTGGATACTGACCAGCTATTTGGTAGTCAGGCATTTGGATAATAACAGGTATTCCAAAAATGTATAGGTCTGAAAGTGAAAGTGTCGCTTAAAAACCTGGTGTCCATCCTCAGTGGTGAAGATATATATATTAAAAAAAAAAAAAAAAAGCTCCAGTTTATTTTGGCAAAGAGGTTAATACTATATTACTTTTTATCTTTCTTTGTGCCACTCTGAAGATAAAAGTTGAAAGGAAATGAGTGTGAAAGAAGAAAAAGTTCTAATTATCTCTTCAAGATACGGTCTATTTAATGACAAATAAAAAATATTGCATAAAAATGAATTGCAGTTTTCTAGTTCTGGACATTTTTGTCTGGTACGGCGGAAAAAAAGTACCACTGTTACTTTAAGGTAAAGGGAAGAGTTTGTTTTTCACTTCCCCTCCTCCTGAAAATGAGAGTCTGCTTTTTTCTGCCTGTAGAACATTTATTTCATCATTACATTTAATAAGGTTCAGGCCATCAGTAAACAAATCTCACTTCCCCCTTATTATCATCCCAAGTAGTGATGAGCTGAATCTTAGTTCTGGAATGTTCAATACAACAACCAATTTGGGGTTAACAACTTAAAGGAGGAACAGTTTAAGTGGCCTTTCAGATTTTAATGTTTTTTTTTTGTTGTTAAAAAAATGTGCTTGCTTATTGGGGTTTAGCATTCTGCTAGAGGCAATGGTTATATAAACATGTAACCTCACTTCATTTGCTGCCCCTCTGTCTTACTGCACACTGTTTTGATAATGAAATTGCTTTTTCTTCTTAAGGAATTCACTCAGTAATTTAGTTATAGCAATGGAAGTTAAAATTAAACTTCCTTATTATCAGATTTGCCAGGGGTCTCATAATTTATGCTGTTACTGTAGATTCTGATTGTGTGTTTGCGTGAGAGCAATATCTTGACTCAGCTCCCCTGTTTTCGGTGATTCAGGGAAGTAAACTAAGTCTTTTTAGGCTTCTAACTCTGGAATATCTTATAGAAAGAGTCCAAGACTTGGGTAGAAAGAGACAAGGTCTTGAGAATAAGACTGGGGTTCTGAGGGAGATGAAAAGTCTGGATCATTTATTTCAGTGAGGCAGTTCTTCGAGTTTACTGAAATTAACATTTCACATCTAATTTGGGATGATCTTTAATTGTGATAAAGCATTTGAAAACTCAGTTACAATGAATGAATATTAAATCTCTGATAGAGCATAATCTGTGTGATAATATTTATGATCTATATCAAAATATTTAGGGAATCCAGTGTATTCCAGCCACCTCTTCCTAATCTGTGGCATTGCAGGAGAGTTATTCTGACACTATAGTATGGACTAGCATTATACTGCAAGAAAAAAAAATAAGGAGTTCCAGTCAAGGACCATCTCAAAGATCCCTGTGTCTTGCCTTCCCAGGAGACAGTTTTAACACAAGCTGTGGGAAAAAGCTAACAGAACCACGCGCTTCTTTCTTGTGGTACCTCACCTCTATCTTTCCATCTTGTGCCTCCTTAAACTAGGCATTTACTTTGAATTAAGCATGCATTTATAAATATTTTTAAAAGGGTTAGTATATTAGAAAGTCAATTAGCCAATTAGCAGTATACCATCTAGCAAGTTAGCAGGATATTTATAAGCATTTCCAACCGTTCTTTACAGGCTATTTTGTGTTATTATTTGTGTCAGGTTATTATTCTGAGCAGTGTTTCTTAATAGTTCTTAGTGTGTAGTGCTTCAAAACTGCCAAAACAGCCCAACAAACTCAAGCACCTTGTAAACTCAAAAAAGCAGATGACACCTGCCTCAGGGAACCATTTGTAGCATATTTATATGCTTGTAACATGCTTTTAATATCTCTTAATCATATTCCGAAATTATTTATAAAGGATTAAAAAATAATTGCCTTCTTAGTGCTACTGGAAAATTGCTGAAGTATAAAAACACTTTACCAACTATTATTTTTAGCTATAAAAGCCAATTAGGGTTTGTTAAGCTTCATATTTGACCCTTCCAAATAGTTGCCTGTGGAGACAAAAGATAGCATCTGTTTTATCTAAGCACTTTCATACTCCTCATCATCATGGGATCTGAAGACCAATTCCTCATGTATTTTTGATACCTTTCTTCCATTAAAACCACTCCAGAATAGGCTTAGATGAAATTTGACTTTCAGAAACAGAGTTTTCGCGGTCTGTAGTGCTAAAGTAATAATTTCTAACCCTTGTTAAAGTGGACTTGAGTATTATTTAATGTATTATTTAATCTCATTTTCCTGAGGAATATTAGCTTCTTTAAATAGCTTTCAGTACCTGAGCTTGAATGCCCTCTGAACTATTTAAAACCGAAAATAGTTTTCGTTGTGTCCCTGACGCCCGTCTTTGCCGAGCAACAGTCTGATTAATTTCTGCAATAAGAAAGTGAACAGGGGACAAGGGAATTAAGCCAGAGAAAGAATACTGGACTGAAAGCAAGAGATCCACATTGGATCTTCTGCCCCGGTAAGTTCCATTGTCTAAATGAAAATCCTACAGGATGCAAGGCCTATGTCCAGGCTTCTTGTGTCATCTATTGATGACGAACACGTTTATGGTTGAAGTTAAAAAGGGCTTTGTAGGAGAGTGATAGCAAAAGAGTGATGGTTGCTTTCAGAGAGCTCAGTTCAGGCTCATGGTAACTTCTGAATATCCAGGGCAGAGTTTTCTAACAAGAATTGTCACTGGTTCTAAGCAGTGAGGAGCTGGTGTAGCATGCGGAGCTTTGGTGTGAGATGTTTCGAGACACATGTTGGACTAAGCAGACTGACGACTGCATTTTATGGAAAGTGAGACATCTGGGGACTTTGTGACTTCACTCCTAGATGTTAGTTGCAGTAACTGAGTCCAGAGGTTGTGAATGCTTGAGTCGAAGTGGCCAGTTCTGATGGGATTAGGATACAGCCTTCTAGCCAGCTGCAGAAGGAAAATGGGGAATATCAGCGGGCTTTGAGGTTGCTGACACGTTTTGTAATCTGAAAGCAGATGCTTCTAGTAGCATTCTCAGGAGGATGCAAGTTCTTTGAAATGCTTGCTTCTTCCAGCCAGCATTGCCGCATCTTGCCAGGATTTGGCTACAGCCAGCTGCTCTCCATTCAAACATGGAATTGGGACTAATATGCAGAAAAATGAAGATAATGCTGTTTTAGTAGGGGTCCAAAAGTCCACAGACAGTTTGAGCTGTTGACCTCATGTTGCCTCATCAGTTTTCCCATTTATTTTGCTCAATGGTTGAGCAATGAGAGGGAGAAAACTGAATCGGAAAACAGGGGGAATAGACGGACTCTTGCAGCATGCTGCAGGGGAAAGCTTTGGAAAAATAGTACTGAATTTCCATTCTCTTGAGGATCATTGTTCCTTCCTAAAGCTGATCATAGGCAGGAACAGAAGCAATAAATGGTGACAAACACCATGGACAGGCTGAGCAGAAAGTATCTGGATTCCTCCGTCTCTGAGCTGGAAGACATTCAGCAGGGCAGCAAGTGCTACCTTCACCCTGTGCCCTGGCGGAAATAAATGGTACCTGCTGGAAGCACCGGGAAAAACATACCATCAATTCTGAAACAAATTGATTTTGGAAAGGGAAAGCAGATGTGGGCAAGTCTCTGACAGATTGAACGTTCTGATTTTGGTGGGGTGGGAGGGAGGGCTGTAAGGAACACTCTTCTGGCAGACGTATATAGTATAAAATGATGTTCTTAGCGATATGACAGTGATATTCTATCTAAACCTTTAAGGTATTTGTAGCTGGTCCATAGTCTCCATACGAAGCACTAAAAGTTGAATGAAACCACTCCCATCTAATTTGATTTAGTTGGCATCAAAGTGAAGGTTCTTAGGTTTTTCCAAAGGTCTGAAAAAGCCTGGGGGGCAGCCAGAGAGAGGGCAGGGTGTGAGGGGTCAGCACGTGTGCACAACATGCCTGCCTGTATGTATGGTACAAACTACTGCTGAGTTGCAAGGCAGTGCGCAAGGCGGTGTTAATGCATGGGGTGATGGGCTCTTCAGGCATCCCCACCGCATGCTGCCTCATGTATAAACCCGCTCCTCTTCCAAACAGGCTTTGGGACTCTGTCGCTTTGTGAGGAGGCAGAATTCCTTATTTATTCTCGGCTTAGGGGGCTTTCTGCAGAAAGGAGAGCTACGTGTGAGAAGCCAGCTAGCCAAGCTTCAAATGGGAGCCAAATGAGGCTTCCCTGCAGTTTCACAGCTGTGTCCTTGATCACAGCTTTGTGCTGCCAGCGCGGTGAACTCTCCCTCGTTTCTATAACCGCGAAGAAACAGAAAAGTATGGAAGCTGACGTCTAAATCTGCTGAGATTAATTTTCTTTTCTCCCCAGGGAATAGCAGTGGCTAATTCTAAAACCAGAGAAAAGTAACTTAACATCATTTTCCAAATTATTACTCACAACCTTAATAGTAATGACTAGTGGCACCTCTCATTTTTCCCTTCTGCTTGCACACATGAGTAAATCTTCACCTCAGATTAAAAGCGAGAAGGCACAGAATAAGGGAAAATTGGCGGGGGTGGGTGGGAAATTGTGTTTGACTTGCCGTTAACACAGCCTAATACAACCCATGCTACTAGTCACGGGCAGGGAAAAGACGACCTGGCTTCTCAGATACTGTCCTGTCTTATTACGGAGGCTCATCTGGCCCTGGGCAGAACGGTTGTCCCACTCGTGCTCGTCCCCATCAGAGCTTGCTCACTCTGTCCTTAATAGCTATCTCTAAGACTGAAACTGCAAAATTTGTTAAGAGCGTGTCTGTTCATAATTAGCAAAAATATTTTTAAACTTTGGTTCAGAAGGTTAAACAATGTTTTTGTGTTTGCATATTCAGATTTTTGTGTGCCGTTAATGGGTGTGTGTTTGTGTATAGGCACGCACACACACATATGCTCTTAGCTAATAAATGCAATTCTGTTCAGACATCTGATGTAATTTAGGGCCAGTAATGACTTCGGAATGATGATGGTGTTACAACTCAATTAAGATGTTTTTAACAAACTGCCTCAAGTGGGCTGCAAACAGCTGCAAAATGCCCACTCAAATCTTCAACAATTGCCACATTAAATAATAGCACTGTCATATATAGTGTTCTCTTTAATGAATGATAAAACGCGGGAGCAGGCTTAAATTTTTGTTCTTTTGGTTCCTTTTCTCCCACAGACCATCCACGTTGCCATTGTCTGTGCAGGGTACAATGCCAGTCGGGATGTTGTCACGCTTGTCAAGTCCGTCTTATTTCACAGGTAAAGGTAGCTTTCTTTTGGTGTATACTTTATATTTGATTATGGCTAAATAGCTCTTGCGGCATTTACCCTCTTGAAAAAAAAATCAGACTCCCTTTCCCTGTGTGTTTTTTTTAAAGGAAAGAAGCATGAAATTTACCACCCTTAGAAATAGCTCCAGGTGACAAAAGATTTCTGCAGTGAGCACTAAGGATCCAGTGCCCAACCATTGCATTGTGGGAATAGGGGCTACACCTGCCTGAATTGTGAAGTATCTGCCTGTTCATGAATCCTATAAAATAATAAGATCACTATCATACTCATTTAGCCTAGTTCTGGTACCAGTTTATGCCAGAAGTATAGACAGTAACTTGAAAGCCATACGCATAAATATACACAAGTTACATGACTACCCCAGTTTCCCATTTAGACCTTTATTTTCCAAGGTAAACCTGTCCCTATAGTCTATTTTCATAAATCCAGATTATTTGTTCTGACTTTGAAAGGGCCACTTGGAGTCCCTCGCAGGAGCTCTCAAGCTGGTTTTAGCACATGGAGCACAGTGAGAACCCAAAGCCTAGAGGCATGCATGTCTAATGAAGAGAAGATAGTTAATTCACAGAGTTCCCTTAATAAACAGGAGTTTCAGTGAAATGAAATGTTGTTAGACTGTGTATGAGGTACAGGTACATCCTGTTCCTTGTGCCTTGTCCAGTTTAATAAAGCCTCTCAGATTTTTTCCAACCGTGGTGGAGAAAGTGGGTGAAAATGGGGAACAGAGAGACTAATCAAACAGTTTTACTCAAACAGCACAAATAGGCTATAAAATCAATTTACAGCATAAAGAGTTTGCTAAGATGGTGGTTTCAATATGCCCCTGCATATTGAATGATATTTTATAGCAGTGAGGATGAGTCTTGTTCAAGTCACATGCTGATATCTTGTTACACATACATTACACATACATAATTGTCCCCAACCTTGCTCCTTATGTTTACCTATGAAGTGCTGCTGGAACACTGTTAGCAGTCACTCTGTGCAGTAGTTTTTGTGCAACATTGCACCTTTTACCCATTTTTGATAAGCTCACCTTGTATGGTGTAGAAATGATTCCGTAAATACTATTTTAAGAGATTGGCTGGAGCAAGGAAGCGCAAGAAGGAGATGGAAAGGTGGGAGAGGGGTGAAATTCTCCAAAGTATGAAAGTAACTTTCATTATTAACACATATAACACAGCCTTTGTGGGAATTCCCAGATGAGCATAATAAAAGGAACAGGAAAAACAATGCTTAAATGATTAAAACAAAACAAAGCAAACAGACTTCTGTGTGGAATTTTTTAACAGTTAAAATCATGTTAAATATTAAAATTATATCATTTTCCAATTAAACTTCTGAATTATTCAGTGTAAACTGCCTTCATATTCCAGGGATGTGGGTTGTTTTGTCTATTTTGATTGTTGTTTGTTTTGGTTTGGGTTTTTTTTTTTTTTTTTGGACAAATGTGCATTTTTATGTTGATGTGATTTCTCCCAGCAATGAACTTCTTGGTATTTTTCTCTTGTGGTACTTAGCTCCATTTTGAAAAGATTCAAATACTCAATGTGTTTCCTGATCCTTATAAATAATAAGAATCTTGTAACCCAAAAAAATAAGTAGACTCTTTGTGTTAAAAGTAATGTCTCCATTTTGCCTATGGCATAGAGCTGAAAAATAAGCAATTTATAAACATTTTTTTGCCATAAATAATCTGGGAAATATATTTAATTAAAAGGATGAAAACCATACAAAGAAAAGTAACCTGATGGAATCTGCCCTTGTCAAGAACATACTTGATGTTTGGCTAACAATACTGCACATCTCAAAGGATTTTCCTTGCTCAGCAGAAGTGATCAAGATAAAGTCCAATACAGCTAATGAACCTTTATTGTAGTCAGTTGCATCCAAGGTAATGTATCTAGCTTGTTTGCTCAAAACATAATTAAAGACAAATTTAAGTCAATTCTTGCCTAGGTCTAGCTCTCCTTGCTAGGCATGAAATTGTCTGCTAAAATGCGAAGATGTTCTCAAAAAAGAAAGAGATCTTCTTGCAGACAAGTCTTACTTTTCTTCTAGAAAATTCAGGCAATTTAGCTTCTTAAGCATCTGTTGATGCTATGGCTCCATATGCAGAGGCCCATATCTCAGGAATTCTTTCTTGGATCCCCCCCACATTGTTGGTGGTTTTTTTTTTTTTTTTTTTGGATTGAAAGGTGAGGAAGGCTGAATAATAAACCATGAAGTTGCCATATTTCCTCAGCTGAAAATTGTATCTAAGTCTACGTGCTTTTGTTTTGGCAAATTGGTATGGTTGTATGACAATCACATCTGCTGTGGTCGGTGTAATTGAGCTCGCCCAGGTGCTGCTGGTAGGATGGACAGGCCAGTCTGAGAAGCAAAAAATGCTGCCCAGCTGGTGCTGTGTGTGGAGCCTGAGCCCTGCTTCCTGCCTAGACTAAAACCAGTGTGTCTGTGGCTAAATCTGCTACAACAGCATCTTCATCTGCTCTCCAGGGATATCCTACATGTAGGGGTTGAGGTTGTTATGGGGTAGTTTAATATCAAAGAATGTTATAAAGCATGCAATATATAAGATTATTTGTGATTGTGATACATTCCTTGCATTGGTTGCCATGAAAACAGTATTATCTTGAAGACTGGTATGCACTTAAAAAATAGGGTGATCGGAGAGAAATTTTCTTTTAGCTGCTATGTTCTGTTTGATTGTGGGAAAGAAAGGTTAAGATAAATCATGATACTGCATCAGGAGGAATTAGGAGAGATGGAGGTGATTCATTCACATGGTGGCAACTTCTTGACATCAGGTTCACCATCTGATGAGAGTCGTCAGTGAAAACTGGCGTGGAAACATCTCTCCTTATAAATCCTTAATGTGTACCAGGAAATATATCCTGTCTGGCACTGCCAGGAAAAACATTCTGCAAGTCTGCAGTGGAATGGAAGCTTACTTGTTCCACCCTAAGCTCTAAGTCAAGGCTACCTAGTCCTCTGCTTGCAGAACCATTACATTCAATCTCAAGTGTATTTTGCACAAGGAGAACAAACATGCTTCCACATATATTGTCAAAGAGAATATGTTTTCCTTTTTAGAAGTTTCTGATGATCAGTGTTTGGGCAAACCTGATGTAGCAGGAGCAGAGTTTGTTTGTAACAAGATGTATAATTGAAAGAAACTTTTGTAGAAAACCCAGTTGTAGCACATAGTGTAGGTTCTCCTCAGGCATCAGTGTCATTACACCTCAGTCTCCTGCCCTACAACGTACTGAACATAATCTGCTAACTGAACAGCTTGCTCCCCAAAGCAAACACCCTTAATGCCCTTGTCTGCTCCTGCTGATTTTCATTTGGTGTTCTTTGCAGAGCACTGATTTCAATGAATCTGTCTGCAATTCACAAAGATGTCATATAAGCTTTTATTAGCATTTCCTTCCAATTTAGCAAGTAAAGCATGTTTCAGCTGGGTATTTCTGTGTGTTTTGATGCAAACAGGTCTCTAGATTGCCTTCTTCGATTTGTAGAAAAGTCCTGAGAAAAGGACACTAGGTCAGTATTATCATTGTCTCCCTATGCATTAACTTATTTGCTGTGCTCTCAAGTTAAGGTGCAGGACAGAAAGACACAAGACAGCGGGAATATTGGGTGCAAGCTACAGGATTTTATATGAATGGAGTGTGCTGTATCCTCTCTTGCATTATTGTACAGCACATACTGTATATTGAACATTTTAGCTCTCTCCAGTTCTTCTCTGCCAGGTCTAAAACAGCAAGTTTTAGATTCTAGTCATACCATAAGTATCATGAGACAGAGGCAAGCTACTTGTCCAAGCAGTCGGAGAAACTATGTCTGTCTTCAGGCTCCAGAGAGCAGAAGGAGGAGGAGGAAGGGATGGTGTGATGGATTTCTTATAAGAATACCATAGTTCAAAAACGCATTTCATTCCCTGTGGAACAGGAGCTTGATTTCAGTTTTGTCTTTAGAAAATGCATGTTCAAGCCACAAAATCCCAGCAGCTTTTAACACCCAGTTTGACAGAACTGACAGTCTGTTCTCAGGGGGAGATTCAGCAGAGCTGGGGTAGCGTGGAGTTTGCAGACTCTGATAAATGTGCATTGGAGCATCTGCTCTGGCTTTTAGAATGAGCCCTCCATCCTTGCCTGCAACTTTTCTACTTTTCTGTGTTGGGCGTCAGTTTCTGATTATGACAGATGTTATAAATCTGTTTCAGGGGTGAAAAATTTTCTCTCTGAGCCAGTTTGATTCTCCCAAGCTCATATCATTGTGCTCTGAGCACAGCTTAAGTTTCATTTTCCCAAGGCAAAAGATTAAATACCAGAAATTAAAAATTTGGGATCATTTGGGCAAGATTGTACTTATTCTTCCCCAGAACATGTGCAATTTGTTTTCAGAATTAACAGAATGTTCTGTGGCTTGCTACTTTCATTGGAAATTCTGCAACTATATGGCCAAGTTATTTTCAATGTTTTCTGAAAATTAAGTTTGGAGTGCCTCAAAAGAAGTTAAAAAAGAAGCCCATAAATTATAGCTTCATATTGTAAAGTTCATTCCCATATTAATTTAGGTAATTCTTAACTTGAGGTAACCATGTTACACCATGCTACATTAGGGAAATTTTTAAACATGCTAAAAAACATGTTACATTAGGCAATGAAGAAATGTCAAAAATGAACAGTTATAAAATGTTGCTGACAGTTAGGTCAATGTGAGAATCTGTGAAAAACTGACTTTTTCTTGCCAACTACTATCACCTTGCCAGTGATCTCCCTTGTATAAAAGGCATTTGTATCCCAGCAGAAAAGTGATTTTGTTTTTCTTTTTTTTTTTTTTTTAACCCACTCAGTTTGGGAAAGCTTTGCGACTTTTAGAGGTGCGCACTGCATCTATCCTAAAGCAATAGTAGCACAGCAGCGGTGCCAGAGGGGTTGGAGAATAAACGAAGTCAA